AAGCATAACTTCATTCTAAAATCTTCCCCAGGCCATATAAATGGAAGGTAGCGCCATGGTTGAGCTCGTCTTGTTTCCCTGAACAAGATGGTACCCTTCACGCAAGCCAATTATTCCTGTAACAAAAAGCCCTAAAAAAAACCAAGAAAACCCTACAATGGTGATCCACGATATAAAGCATAAGAATGAAATTGGTTATTGCAGAAAGCTAGCAAATGTCATGGTGATTCAGAATATGCAATTTCTTTTCATTATAGATGCAAGAATCGTATAAATCGAATTCAAGAACAGGGTGGTTTCGTGGATGACTTACAGCGCTTGGGAGGGTCTGGAAATGCGTGATTTTGATTGATTTCGCTTGTGGAGATGGTCAGGAAGAGATTGAGATAAGTTTTAAGTCTTGAAATTGCCTCTAGACCTGATTTTGATCTCACACTTTTTCTTGTTTTTTGCAAATTTTGTTCTGCCTCTAGAACTGATTTCCAATCCCTATTTATGTATGTCTCACTTCCTAATGTAATGCACAATGTATTAGGGTAAAAAATTCTGTCCAAATCTTCCTCCATTGATGATTTTGATATTTGATTTTATCCTCCATTAAAGCTTTCCAAATTTGATCCAAATCACATCTTTTTGTACACTTATGCCTTGGTACGAGTTTGATGCGGTACAAGCTGTCTATTGAAAGCTGAAATCATCAAAAGATCTTTGGTTATCAATATTTTTTATTTTATTTGATTTAATTTGGTTTAAAATGAATTAATTCAAATAAAAATCAAATTAAATAATAAAAATATGATATGGACACATGGCCAAGGCCAGAGCACGTGGGGAATGATGCAAACTCAAAACAAGTGAAAAGAATGGGCCCATTTGGAAAAATTTGAAGTTTTGGGGATAATTGACTTTTGGCAATTTTGCAAAAAAGTCCAACTTCAACAATGCATAACTTCCTCAATTTTGAACCTTTAGAGGTGTTCTTGGACTTTTCAGAAATCTTGAGATGTCCTCTAATCAACCCTTTTAGTCTCATCTCATTTTTATATTCCATGCTCAAGTTAGAAGCTTTGACAAAAAAGGTGTTTTTGTTGACTTTCAAAAATGACCTATAATGTAAAAATTCATGACTTCTTGTGAGTGCATATTTTGATATTGGGGTATGAAGATGGATTGTAGGGAATTTCATCCTATTAAAAATGAGCTTTGGATGGGTCATTTCGCATAAATTATTAGAAAGTTATGCTTGATCAAAGTTGTCTTGACTTTTCCTACAAACCCCTAATTTAGCAACTTTTGAATCTTGATGAATTTTGAGCAATTCTTGATGAATCATGATCAAACCTTGATAAATTGATGAAATATCCTTCAAAATGAGAATGTTGACAAAAAATATTGAAGTTTGACTGTATCTGGGTCACAGTTGACTTTTGCCCTAGCATAGTCGATTTTTGGACCTTTTGAGCAATTGAATGAGCAAAATTCCTCTGCATGGCTTAAAACTTGACATGGATGATCTTGAGAACATATTATGACATTGGTGAGAAATTGGAGTCACTTGGACTCAAGGATCTTGATGCAACACAAAACCCTAATTTGAGTAGACTGCCTTAGGAGAGAGCTTGTCTGACCAATCCTTGGACTACTTTAAGCAATTTGGAGATCTTTCTTGCAATATTTTGAGAAATATGGGAGGGCAAATTTTGGGGTACAACAGCAACCAAGTGGGATAACCCTAGGGGTGCTTGTGTGTAAGTGTGTTATTTTCATGCTTGATTTTGTCTTGAATTAAGGTTTTCTATTTGATTGGTTTTATCTTGCCATACAAACCCTAATTACTAGCATGTTATGTAAAAGCGATAAATTGCGAAATTTAAAGTTACTACGCTATTACATCATTTGTGGGAGGGGGTATACAATTTATGAATGGGGATTGCAATAATATAAATCTAATTAATCTATTACAACCAAATTGAATATTGTACAAATAATTGAAGAAATATATAAAGTACAAATGCAAATTGAAAGAAATGATTTTTGTGTTTGGATTTTTGTATGAAGGAGGTTTTAACCTAAACCTAATTAGAGAAAAAAGTAATTAAATTAAATTAACTTAAGTTAATTAAGAAAAGAAATTAATTAAGAAAAGATTTTAATTAAGAAAAGATTTTTGAATAAAACCCTAAATCTATTTTAGTTGATTAAAAGAAAATAAGTTTAAAGAAAAAGTATTTTTGTGTTTTTTTGTCTTGAAAATAATATGTGGTATTATGAAATATTTTTGGTCTTTTTTATATTAAAAATAAGTGTATTTAGATAAATAATAACCTAGTTTTATTTTAATATTTACAAGGAAATTAATAAAAGTAAATAAAGTATAATGAATAAAAATAATTTCTTTATGTGGAAAAATATTTAAATTATATCAAAATATAAATCTATCATTTTTATACTTTTTATGATTTTTTTTGGTATTTTAGAAAATATATTTAAAAGAAAAAGAAATAATTAAATAAATAAAATAAAATGGGCCAAGGTGGTGTCATAAGTAAATAGGGAGTATGCTAGCAAAAACAAAAAAAGAATGCCAGGCCCAAAGGGCCCAGCGCTTGCAAATAAAAAATCAAAACTGTCAAAATATGAAGAAAAAAAAGCAAAATGGTCACGTTAGGGCTTGAACCCAGGACCATAGGGTGAATAGGCGCGCGCTTTACCACTGGGGTGGCTATACATCCATTTATATAGGCAAAACCATAAATATATAAGGCAAATCCAGTCCTGATGACTTCATATTCAACCTCCAGCCGGTGTACCTATAACTTCTTCATTTCTCAACAAAAATGGAAAGTGACAAAATGAAAGTTGTTGCATTCTTCCTCACGATTCTAACCATGTAAATAACTAAGGCTAAAAGTCAAAGATAAGTGAGAATTTCTCTGGCCCTAATTTAAACCCTAAAAATTTCAGAAACTTCAACTCTAAAATTCTCTAAGCTCAAGTCATATAAATGCAAACTATGGATATGTACAGCTTCGTGGCAATGAGGTCTACATTTTATCTTCACAAATGCAAGCTTAACAATGCCTAAATAATGATATAGAAGTTCAAGAAAAATACCTCAAAACTGGAAATCGTGAAATGCAAATGAGCTTGTTTCAGTCAGTGCTGATGATCAGGTTAGCTTCCTTGGACCTCTAGGAAGCTAATGCAATGGCTGGCTTGAGCTGAGGATGGCTGGAATGGCCTGGAGAAGTCCAACTGTGATGCTCTATTTTTGGTTATGGAAGATAGGGAAAATGGTGTTACAGAAATGAAACGGGTACAAGGATGAGTTAGTCTTGATGCAAGGAAGCTTTAGAAACTAAAAGACCAAGAAACGCACGAGGGAAATGTGAGTTTGGTATGAAAAGTCAGAACTTGCACAACAATGGTGTTTTGGGACAATTTATGGCTAGAGGGAGTTTGAGTGAGTTTTAGGGGCTTCTTGCTCGTGTGTCCACTTGCAAATAGTGTGTATACTTATAAGAAAAAGGTTTTTAAGCTTGTAACAACTCAGAATTTGAATTTGCATTCTTAAGCCAAACATGTGATTTTTGAGAAAACAAGTCTCAATGCTTGTGTACTTGCTAAGATAGGGTATTTTATGCTTTAAACAAGTTTGTTTCTGACTTTGTGGATGGAGTGTGATCAGAGGTAACAAGTTAGAGGCTCAAGAATGACTTTATGCAAAAAGCTTGCTTTACAAGAATGGAAGTGTTCACTTTGTGCCATTAATGGAAATGCAACTTGGATAATAGTTCATTTGCTTGGATCAAAGCCGTAATAGTTGTGTAAGCATTTAATTAAGGAGTGACAAACAAGTTTGAGGCCTGCAAAGAAAAGATTATGCAGCCTAGCATTGATTTGCATTTGTGTTCATCATGAAAATGACCTAAATTCAAGTGATAAAACCCTAATTTCATCTCTTCGATTATCCTTTCTCAAGAATGATATAAAGGAGTTCTTGGACATTTTGGAAAGCTTTCAATGTGATCTACAACTCATCTTTGAATTGCTTTTGAAGATTCCCCTTGTAACCATGTGAAAAATTTCCATGAAGTTAGGTCAAAAATCTGCCTAACTATGGCAAAATTTCACTAAGTCATTTTTAGTTCATTAGCATGTATTCACAAAATTATAACTTGAGATCCAAGCATTTTTAGGAGAAGTTGTGTGAAGTAAAGTTGTAGGTTTCATGGGGATCTACAACTTTCATGTTGGAAGTTTCTCTTGAATCATCTTGCATCATGGTGAAAATTTGGATCAAAGTTATGAAAAAAAAAATAAGAAATTTTCTATACTTAGAAAAATTTACAAGTTAAGAAATTTCATCTTTTCAAAATAAAATCTTGATTTCTTGATGAACAAGTTTCATATTTTGATGTGTTTTATTTAATTATGATCTTTGGCATTTGATTTTGACCAAAAAGTCAAAGTTTGACTTTTCAGTATACAGTTGACTTTTGATCAGTTGACTTTTGATCAATTGACTGAAAAATTCATCTGTCAATCCAATGGACTTGTAGTGTCTTGAACCATGTCATTAGGTCAAAGTGGTGCAATTGGACTCTTGAGATAATGCCTTAACCCAATTGATCATTTGCTAGGTCAAAAACCAGAAATTGCCATTTCCCAGTCAAAACCCTAATTTTAACCATTTTGCCCCTTTTGATGATTTGATCAAATTTCTTGAGGAGTTGTGGTCCAAACTTGATCAAATGCTACATATGAGTTTAAAATGTTGGTGTGGATCAAAAATCATGAATTTTTACTGTAAATTGGCCATGGTTGACTTTTTTCCCAACACAACTGATTTTTAGGTCAACTGTTTAATTGCTTGATCAAAAGTGTGATCCAAGGCTTGAAACTTGACATGAGCAATATTGGGGGTCCATAATGATCCATGAAAGTCATATGAGGCATTGGAAGTTCAAAAATCCTTGTGAAATCTCAAACCCTAATTTTCAGTCATCAGTGCTTGAGAATATTCTCCGGTTGCGGTGGGGAATTTGAAGGATCCAATTGGCAGGGGCCCCTTCCGCTCGTACCTGCGGACAATTGAACACGTTTATTGCATCCTGAGAAAAGCACGACCTCTTATTTTGAGGCTCAGGAGTGACCCAGGCCAGAGGGTCCTCATCAACATATGGCTCATCTTCATAGTTGGCGGGCAGAACATCATCCTAGACTGAGTGCGCCATTATACCCGAAAAGCAGGGGGAAAGAGTGAATTTGACATTATCAAATTCACCCTTCCACTGCAGATCAAGTGAAAGGGTGACGAACTCGACCCAAGCCCTCAACTATACGTTAAAGCGGACTACATTTTCGTTGGGGGACTACGTTGTCGTGGGGGATATTCACTCAAACGAGCAAGAAGCCCAAGTCAACCCCCATTATCCTGGAAGAATGTCCCCTATATCATGGCCACTATTCGTGGAGATCTTCCCCGACGTCATAAACTAATGAATTTCAATGAACATTCATGAGTGTTCATCGCAAAACTCATGAACTTCAATGAACATTCATGAGTGTTCATCATATAACTCATAAATATTCATCCAGTCAAGGAAAATTTTAGGTGTTTAATCTAGAAACGCTGAGGAAATATGTTGTTAAGGAGATATAACTTACTTGGATGAAGAATTCTTGAACGAAATCTGGAAAAGTTAGGAGGAAATCTTCATGCGCGAGCAAGAGAAATTGAAGGAGAAAACTTGGGAAAATTACAAATGAGACCCAGGGGTCCCCTTTTATAGTTGGCTCACACTCCACGAGGTTCATCATGAAAATTCATCATTGCATTGGACCTTTTGGACTCCCCCTGAAGAGATGGAACCCCAAAACAACAGCCATGTGGCCCAACAATCAACCACGTGTCAATTCTCAAAGACCCCCACAAGCACTTTGTCCCCACACAGGCACAACAGATACTTCACGCGAGGGAATGCTCGACGCCATGGATGAAGCGCGTATATGGGAACATTCATCACGGTCTACCTCAAGGGCGAAATAACGCTCGACATCATGATAACCTCTTGAAGACGGACACGTCAAAAGAGAGCTCGTGGAAACTCCTCGTAACTTACACGGCCTTCTCGGGAAAGCAACTGATTCTGGCTGTCTCACTGCCCATTGTCCACTAGATCCCCGACACACTCAAATAGGTTATCACCTACGCGGGCAAGAACTTGTTTCCTTTCAGGAGACTTCGACCATCCTCCCCGACCAAATCCTCTCCAACTATAAAAGCAGAACTCAAGTCATCACCCTTTCAACTCAGGGAAATAACTTGGGGGGTTTCTGATCTGGACTGGGCCTGCACTTGTCCCACGGTTGGGAGGCCCAACCCAACACCCTGGTATAAGGGCCAAAAGCAGATAGCCCAAGTCAGGTACCATTGGGAAACTCCCTGTATATCCGTTGGGGAACGTGGCCCATGTCCCCACGTCAAAGTCATCTTAACTCCCCTCCAAAAATCATGGGTCCAACCCCTGTTCTCACAGATCAGTTGACCAGGGGGAGTCCACTTGCTGGACTCCATACACACGTAAGCCCTGGCAGTTCTTGTTATTGGGCCTCAACATGGCCCAACAATGGGGACCTTGGCCCAGCGCTAGGGGCTATAAATACCCTCTCTTATGAGAGGGTCAGGTACAAAAACATTCTTCTTACTCTCATACTTGCTTGCTCATTCCGAAACTCATTTTGGCATCAGAGTGTCTTGCAAGTACCCCCACACGTCACTCTCAAGTTCTGCTTGGAGCAAGCTGTGACGGTCCATTCTGGTCAGGTACGATCAGTAGAGATGATAACATGTATCATGGTTGAAGAAGCTAAAATTTTTTTTACCAAATTTCTGAAATCTTAACATAGCTTCTCTTTTACCTCTTCCATGTCTTTCACTACTTGCACGGTTGATTCCCACGCCTGCAGCACAAGCACTCAAGATGTCAATACTATATTTGAAAAGGTTTTTAGCAATACTCGTTGATATTATAGTGGATCAAATCTCTTAGACTTATGATGGGAACATAAGTTAGAATAGAAATTAGTTTCACAGGTAGTCACTCTCACTACCCATACCTAAGGAAGATGACAACAATGCAAACCAAAAAATATAAACAGTAAACTGCATCAAATGCATTTGTGAAGGAAATGAGGAAAGACTCTAAAACCAAAGTGAATTTATGGGTGAAAACTCTAAAAATTCTCAAATACCATTTTCTATTTTTTGAGCAGAAGCAGTAGCATGTTTGTCCAAGTTCTGCAAATACAAATGTGAACAAAAGTTGGCTTACCCAAGAATTCAAATTCTTTGGCGGCAACGATGCGAAATCAATTTCAAACTTGCCAAAACCTGCATAAAACGGATGGAACAAAAACATGACTTTTCAGAAATGAATCCAATAGTCGTTAATCAGTTGTATAATATATTTGAGTAATTGAAAGTTTTTAGTTTTCTAAGTAATTGAAACTTAATAATAGCAGCACATGTTTTCTTAGAATAACATTCACAACCTTTGATGTAGCAGATTCACTATTAATATAAACATGCATGCACATAAGATAAAACCAATTTGTATTTGATTAGTTCATTCATTGTTACCATGGCTATGTAGTAGACACTTTTGTATGGAACTATGAGTTTATCCCTCAAATAACGATTCATCGAATGTCTTTGCAAAAGACTTCAATCCTTCACAATGTGTCAATATATATTCATGAATATTGCTACAACTGAACTTAGAAGTGCCAACACTTTACATTCTCAAGGATTTCCATAGGATGTCTTCTTTTGCGTGCTTCCTCCTCGCCATGAGTAGTTCTATTGGTCTGTTGTATAGGATCAACTTCAGTGCTCATCATAGAGTCTTCCTACTGCAGTCCTACAGATTCAACTTAACCTTAAACTATGGAACACTGATATTGAAACATTTTTTCAGAAGTGTCGATATTATAAAGCTTAAAAGTATTTTGAATTCAAATTTGCATTTACCTGGATCAGAGATTTTAACCTTTACTCTCAAAGCAACTAAAGCCTCAACTTGTTTACTCAAAAGTGTTGCTTCATGCTTAACTGCCTCCCTAAAGGTAATTACCATACTTCAAAATAAAGACCAAGACAACAAAGATTAACATAGGTTGTTTCTCATGAAAACAACATTATATAGAACTTACAGAACCTGCAGCAAGCGTCAAAACACCATGCATCATGTCATTAACATGCCTACCACTGCAACTATCAGGTGCCTGCAACAGATCATCGTATTTAAATAATAACAAAACATTGTGTGCCTACATCAGCCACCAACCAAAGCTTGAACATACAAAAATATGTGTGGACATCTCATTACAAATATAGTCGAAAGTAAAAAAATAAGCCTAAGCATTATGTGTGTTGGGCTACTCATTGGGGCATTAGCTCAAAAACCTGGTGTTTCTTCAAAATCAGACACATTTAAAGTCATAATCAGTGCATCAGTCATCAATTCAATAACGAAATCATCCAACTCAATTCAAGAATCATGTTGTAGTTTCAGTTCAGCCATAACTTTGCACAAGCATTCAAAACCGTGTCCAACCTTAATAATGTAGTATTCACCCATTGCTCATCCCAAGCTTTGCTTACATAGAAAAAAACCCTAAACTAATAATCTGAAAAATAAAACAATCACAAAAAAATACACTTTGAGATAAATACATTTCATGAGTTTCAACAAAATATATGCATAAAGTTTGAAGCTTTAGGAAAGAGCAACCACCGCGAAATCGCACACCGTAAACTAACTGTGCTTTCTTAGAAGCAGCATTCTCACTTATTTTAGCCTTGGACCTTTTCATAGGAGTAGTAGTGTGTTTGTTTTTCCATCAGTAATAATTGGAGTAGTTTTGAATGAATAGGAAATCTCAACAAAAGTTATATCAAATATAATAACACTAAACCTTGAATTCCCTTCATATTTGAAACACAGTTAGCAACCATAACTTATACAATAGTATTCTGCAAACCCTTGTCATTTGTTGCAAAAGCAAGCTATTTGTGACATTGAGAAATAAAGTTAGCTTGTCACATGATATACAGTTAACGCAACAAACCAATGAAATTTATAATGAACTGGAATAGGAAGTCAAATAGCTTACACAACTGATATATTTCAGCAAAATACACAAGCAAATGCAATAGTAAAAGAGATAGTTATCTGGTAAACCCTCTCAACATTCTTCAACTGAGTAAAAAGAAAAAAGCAAACAAAATATAAGTATGTATAAACAAACACGATCATACAACATAAACATAGAGTAAACATAAACATAATTCAGACTCAAGCACACATTTTTTACAAAACCCTAATCTTCATCGGAACTGCTATCTCCCATGCATCTTCCCCCTTCTGTGTGACCCATAACAAAAAAACTTGAAACAAATAAGAAGAAACATCATTGAAAAACCATATTTGGATATTGTTGATAGCAAATCATTGATTTTAAATATCAAAACAATTGGTAAATCGATGTCGTAGATTATCGCATAAAGGATGAAGAGGAAAAACATAACATATCAGAAGCAACTTGGAGTGAAGGTATAAAAAAATCACCTTCAAATCCCATAAACAGTGGTCGACCACCACACGTTCCTTACGAATCCGACTTCGCCAGCAAAATAGCCTTCTCTCCCCCTATTCGCTCTACTGTAGCCTTTTGTTTCGATTAATGTTTTGATTGTTTTGATTCTGAAACAGAGAAAAGAAATAGAGAAAATAAAGAAGAAAGAAGTGGAACAGGAAGACAAACTGAAAGAAGAAGAGGAAGAAAACTTCAGAGAGAAAGAGAGAGAAAAAATGACGAGAGAAAGAGAAGAATTTTATGTTGGTTGAAATTTGAATTAAAGTATACATTGAAAGAAGAGAAAATAGTAACATATCATTTAAATTGGACCAAGTGACATCATCGACCCATTTCAACCTAATTATCAAAGGTAAAAAATAGAAACTTTGTAATTGAAATAGAATTAAGTGACATCATTAGTTGAAAAAGGTATTTTTTAGACACAAAATACCCTCATTTTAGTGTAGTGGAAAATTAAGAGGCAAGGACAGTCCGGTCTTTTCCAAAGGTTCAAAGGTTCTTATATGATAGATGTCTCTATTAGCATCATCATAGGATCTCATTTCATATGCTTGCTTTAAAAACCTCTAAAGATCGTCTCTTATATCTTTCCAAAACATTTTGAAGAAGATGGGTTGGAGCCCATCAAGTCTTGAAGTCTTATATGATTTCATGGATGTAAAAGCATCACATGTTAATCAGTGGGTTTTGTTTTCCCCATGCATAGACTTTTCCATATTACCTATATCACGATCCCATGTTTGCTTCACCAGGGGAGGATATCAGGATGTGTACACTAGACTATTGTTTCACAATTTTTAAAAATTGTCATTGAAGAAATACCATGTCGAGTCACAGACTATGTCGCTTTCTTTATGACATTTTGCGCTACTTCTTAAATTTATGCAAAGCAATCACTCAACCACGAAGTCTCTAGGATAAAACACCTTAGTTCTATATTGTACACTTACGACTAGCATTATAGATAATCAGTCAAGAATTACAACTTCTGGTGGTACAAAGACTAGTTGAATATGGTATAACTACCACTCGTAGTATCTGGTATAAAGACACTCGTTATAACTCAAACAAGGAGAAATTCAATTAATTCTCCAAAGAGAATTCAATAATGGTTATTTGACCACTCAAAATAACTTCTCAAACAAAAAAAAAATTAAAATGATTTTTCAAAGAGAATCCAAAAAAAAATACTAATAATTTCTCAACTTAAACAAGGAGATAGTCAAATGATTCTCTAAAGAGAAATCAAGAAAATACTCTAAAAATTCGACGAATAAAAAGAAATTGGAAGAAGTTTGTGCTTCGGTAATTTGAACAAGCAGAGTAAAGGTGTGAGGAAGAAAAAATCAAAAGAATTTTTTGTGTGATTTTGAATGAAACATGTGTGCATTCCTCATATAATAAAGTAAGTTATGCAAGATATGCAATCTAAGTAATGTGGGACTTAGAGTTTTCTCAATTAACTCACAAACACGCATAATTTTTTAACAATGTGGGACTTAAGAAATTTTTTCAAATTTATCTCCATATTAGAATATTGACATGTTCCAACAATCCTTCATTTGAATTTAAAAAGGTGATTTTAGAAGTAACATCAAACATTTATAAGATTGAACATAAACAAAGGTGTGTACAAAACTTTACGTAGTAGGTAGGATTCCGATTCAACAAGAGTGACACAATTGTTTTGAACTTTATCTCAGACATTAAACTCGCATACAACCTTTTCTTAAAGTGTATTCTAATAAACATGTGTTTTAATGACCCATGCATGTCTATTCTAGTTTAGTAAATGCTCTAGGAATTCTGCCTCAAAATTCCATAAGAATCTTCCTAAGTTCCACTATCACACAAGTGATTCTATCAAGTGTAATCATGTAGCTAGGTACTCCCTCATACAGAGTATATATATATATATATATATATATATATATATATATATATATATATATATATATATATATATATATATATAAGAGTTTCTATTATCTCATCCTCTTATCACTTCATGATTCAAGCTTCTCTTATTTATGATAGCATGATCACCTCATATTACTCACAATTTATTATTACCCATTGAACTTATTTCTTAGAATCTCTAATCTATTAGGTCAGGTTACCATCATGAAAAACTCACTTATCTATAGGCATAAGTCACATATTCTTAGATGTATTATGGACTTTCTCTCTAACTAATCCTTTCGTTAAAGGATTTACTAAATTTTCATTAGTGCATACATGATCCTCTCTTACAGCTCCTTTAGAGATACAATCTTTAACAGTATTGTGATTTTTCTTTATTTGACGTCTCTTACCATTATAATAACGATTCGCAAGTTTTGCAATAGTCGTAATACTATTACAGGGGATCAACACAGTTGGCATAGTTTTTTCCTATAAAGGGATCCCAACTAGTAAGCATATTAACCAACTTGCTTCTTCACTAGAAGTTTCTAATACTATCATTTCAAACTCCATTATGGACTGAGCCAAGATGGTTTATTTCTTTGATTTCCAAGATATAACTCCTTCAACTATATTGAATAATATAACCACTGGTTGATTTGGAATCATTATATTAGGTATTCCAATTTTCACCATTGTATCCTTCAAGTACATTAGAAAATCTCTAATAATGTAGGTCGAGATTCATGATCCTTTGAAGGTATCACATGACTCATTGAATAGCTTGACAATGAAAATTATAAGGTCTATTTGTAAACATGCACAACAATCATACGACATATGGCATGCCTATGATTGCCAATGATCCTTGCATACTCAGTTTCTCTATCACTGTCAATAATGTTCTTAAAAAGTTTAACACTAGAATCGTATAATATGCAAACAGGTTTACATCAAAGTAGTTATATTTATTTAAGATATTCTCCACACAGTGAAAATGGTCCAAAGATATTTCCTTTTCATATCTAGCGATCTTGGTTCCAATATCACATTGGCTACTCTGAGGTGTTTCACATCAAAGTTGTTGCACAACAGTGATTTCACATCATTAACGACATAAAGGTTTGATTCAAATATGAGTAAGTCGTCTACATAGAAACATATGATAGTGCAAATGTCATTTTAAGATTTGTAATAAATGCACTAATAGAAGACTCGTGTGTCCGCACGGGTAAGTTCTTTCATATCTTAGATTATTCGAAAAGACTTGGTTCTTCTTGATATATAATTGTTATTATAAAATTACTAATAATTACAAATATTTAAAAATAAATATGTAACAAATTACCAACATAATAAGTCAATATATCTAATAATTATAAATATTTATAATAACTATAAAGATTTAAAAATATTTTATTGACTAAAATAAAATGAAAAAGAAGTATTATGGTGATAGTGATACGTGAAAATAATAAATTTTAATAATCAAATATATAAATTAATAAAATTTACAAATATCACTCTTATTATTTTCTTAGAATATAATAATAAATTAATAATTTTAATAATATAATTTATTGGAATTACATTACAAATTATAAAATAGAAAATTATGATGTAAATCTTTTTAAAATGGATCAACCTTTTAAAACATTAAAAAGTTATTGACGCAATTCTTCAATTTAAAATGTTAACTTAACCACACTTTACTGAAAAACTTATGTATCTTATCAATAAAAATGATTTTATCAATTCTAAGTTAGGACAAAGAAATTAAATTAAATATAAAACTCATGTATATTAAAAAATACAAATAAATTTCAACTATAAAATCTAACACTTAGAAATATTCAATTTATTTAAAAATTTGGTGTTTACAATCATTAGTATGATATATCTGTTGGTACAAGGTAATGAAAGGGGAGAAGAAGAATGAGCAATGAATGATAACAAAGAGGAATACTATTGTATATCAAATAGAGGAATGAATGAGTTACAATATTGATAGCCTAGATAACATATTTATACCAAAATTGAAAATGCCAAAAGGCCCTAATAAA